AGAACTGTGTGAAGATGTTTAGAAGCTTTCTGGGTGATGCTCTGAATAAAACTCCTATGCAGCCCAATTAATCTACAGTAAAGATCAACATGGTTCTCTAAGACTTTCAGAGTAAGACTAGTATTTATTTAACTTCAACTTAATGTAGGGATTGGATCACAAGGAGTATAGCTTTCAAATAGATTATCAAATGGACAGAATAAAAATAACAACTCAGGCTGGGCATGTCAGTTCACGCCTATAATCCCAGCTCTTTGGGAGGTCAGGGCAGGAGGATCACTTGAGCTCAGGAGTTGGAGACCAGCCTGGGCAACACAGTGAGACCTCATCTTTATATTTAAAAATAAGCTAATTAATTAAACAAAAATAAAAATGTCTCTGGACGTGGTGACTCATGCCTGTAACCCCAGCACTTTGGGCGGTTGAGGCGGGCAGATCACTTGAGGTCAGGAGTTTAAGACCAGCCTAGCCAACATGGCGAAACCCCGTATCTACTAAAAATACAAAAATTAGCCAGGGGTGCTGGTGGGTGCCTGTAGTCCCAGCTACTCAGGAGGCTGAGGCAGGAGAATCACTTGAACCCGGGAGGTGGAGGTTGCAATGAGCTGAGATTGTGCCACTATACTCCAGCCTGGGTGACAGAGCAAGACCTCTATTTCAAAAAAAAAAAAAAAAAAGTCAGCCCTAATATTGAATTTATAATACAAAATTTTAATTATTAGCACTCTCCCATAAAGCACAAGGAAGAACATCTTATTTAATAAAAGGGGGATAATATTTCACTGGGCAGGCTGGGCACAGTGGCTCACACTTTTAATCCCAGCCCTTTGGGAGGTTAAGGAGGGCAAACTGCTTAAGCCCAGGAGCCTGAGCAACATGACAAAACCTCATTCCTACAAAAAATACAAAAATTAACCCGGCATGGTGGCGGGCTCCTGTAATCTCAGTTACTCAGGAGACTGAAGCGTGAGAATCACTTGAAACCGGGAGGTGGAGGTTGCTGAGCCTAGATGGTGCCATTGCACTCCAGTCTGGGCGACAGAGCAAGACTCTGTCTTAAACAAAAACAGAAAATCAGGCTGGGCAAGGCACTCACGCCTGTAATCCCAGCACTTTGGGAGGGTGAGGTGGGTGGATCACCTGAGGTCAGGAGTTCGAGACCAGCCCATCCAACACGGTGAAACCCTGTCTCTACTAAAAATACAAAAATTAGCCAGGGTAGTGGCACACACCTGTGATCCCAGCTGCTCAGGAAGCTGAGGCTGGAGAATCACTCGAACTTGGGAGATGGAGGCTGCAGCAAGCTGAGATCATACCACTCTAGCCTGGGTGACAGAGTGAGACTCTGTCTCAAAATAAATAAACAAACAAACAAACAGTAATAAGGTCAGACTTTTGAAGGGAGGTGCTCATTAATCATATATTTCTTTGTGAGTTCCCTGGTGCTATTCTGCCAATTTTTCTATGGGACAGCTTTTTCTCCCCCAGTGCTGATTTGTAAGCTCTCAAGACTGTCCTAGAGGCAGTCTATGGACAGTACATTAAATATTGGATATTTTTGTTTATTTATTTATTGAGACAGCATCTTGCTGGGTCACCCAGGCTGCAGTGCAGTGACAAGATCACAGTTCATTGCAGCCTCAAACTCCTGGACTCAAAGCAATCCTCCCACTTCAGCCTCCTGAGCAGCTGGGACTACAGGCATGTGCCACCAAGCCCAGCTAATTAAAAAAATATTTTTTTTTGTAGAGATGGGTGTCTAACCGTGTTGCCCAGGCTGGTCTTGAATTCCTGGCCTCAAGTGATCCTCCTGCCTTGGCCTCCCAAAGTGCTGGGAATATAGGTGTGAGCCACCATGGCTGTCCTGGGTATTTTTATTGGGAGGAGGGGATGTCTGTCAAGATTAACGAAGAGGAAGTGAAAAAGCATAAAAATTATCTATGAAAGCTGGCAAAGTGGTGCACACTTTCAGTTCTAGCTGCTTGGGAGGCTGAGGCGGGAGGATCGCTGGAGCACAGGTCTAGCCTGGGCAACACAGCCAGACCCCATGGGCCCAGGAGTAGTGGCTCATGCCTGTAATCCCAGCACTTTGGGAGGCCGAAGAGGGTGGATCATGAGGCCAGGAGTTCAAGATCAGCCTGGCCAAGATGGTGAAACCCCGTCTCTACTAAAAATAGAAAAAATTAGATTATAGGTGGCACACACCTATAATCCCAGCTACTTGGGAGACTGAGGCAGAGAACTGCTTAAAGCTGGGAGGCAGAGGTTGCAGTGAGCCAAGATCACACCACTGCACTCCAGCCCGGGCAACAGAACGAAGACTCCATCTCAAAAAAAATATTATACATGGATTCATGCCTTTATCTGCCTGACAAAAGAGGATCCTGCCCTGGCACACTTAGAAGTGTTGTCTCCTGCCTCTATCTCTTTTTTTTTTTTTTTTTTTTTTTTTTTTAAAGATGGGGTTTCCCCATGATGGCCAGGCTGGTCTTGAACTCCTGACCTCAGGTGATCCACCCACCTCAGCCTCCCAAAGTGCTAGGATTACAGGCGTGAGCCACCTCGCCCAGCCTTGCCTCGTCTCCTGCCTCTCTATAAAGATGGTCTAGCTGAACTAAAAAAGGAGGATGGGGAGAAGATGACTTTTTTTTTTAACAGTTTTTTTTTTTTTTTTTTTTTTTTTG